AACCTATAACTTTAGTTAGTTATCTTAATCCTAATTCCTTTAAGGACAACTTCCTTTTCTTGATGATTTCCATTTTAGTAATGATGCTTATCTCCAACAGCGAGCAGACAGTAAGAAATGGTATGAGAGGAATGAATTGAGAAACTTGAGATGCAATTTTGTGTCTGATGTTCTTTTTTTTTTTGCTTAACAGTGTTTGATGTTCTTTCAACTAACTCAAGCTCTTTGGTGAACCATGATGGCTTTAGTTGATGCAACATTGCAGAGGTAGTTTCCTTCGCATTGTTGTCTGATTTCATTAGGAGCTTTGACATGTTCATTGGTCGTGATAACACTATTTTGAAAACGTTTCAGGTATTGTTGGCTCTTGAGAGAATTGAACATGACCAGTAGCTTACAATTTACATACAAGGTAACTATCACTTTGATCTTTTGATATGAACATGTCTAATCGATTATAGAGTGTTTACGTGTGTACGTACTGTACATTATGGTGCTTTCTCATAGGCTGTGGGTCATAGCGACTCGCTTCTTTGGAGATGAATCTATTCTGAAATTGTATGATCAGATTCTACTATGAGCATAGAGAGATGAGGCTTGACATTGATAACCTGTCATATGAGGTTAGATATGCATATTTTAAAATTCAAACTATGTAAAGGATTCAGCTCAAGAAATTCATGAAGTTTTTCAATTAACACAACCCTTATTTAACATCAGTTAACACAACATTAATTAATTTATTTTAGAAAAAAAAAATCAAAGAATACACAGAAAACAAACATAAGAAATCCTCATGACTATATGACTATGCTTGAAAAACATAATATGATTGGTTAATTGATTTTTATCTCCCATTATAATCATGAAGATATATCTTTCTTCTAGATAGGAAATTGTGAGGCGACACTCTATTGATAGGTATTTAACTTTTTTCAAGCTTTCCTCACTGTAAAATTGTAATCTTCTAACACTATAGGTTTTTTTATGTTAACTGCTTTATAGGAATCTTGACAAATCTAAACATTTGAAATTTTATTTATTTTATAAATTAGACACCACAAAAATGAGACTTACAGGAGAGACATGACCATAAATATGTCTTCATTGTTATAAATTGTTTTACATTAAATGGGTTTAAAACAATCTTATATAAACAAATAATTGAAACAATTACAATATAATTACATAAAATGTTGGGCAAATCTCTCAAATAGAATTTTTAAGTTTTTATCACAAAAACGGACTTCAAAAAATAAAATGACCAAAATGCCATTTTATGTTTTTTTAATTTTTAAAATTTGAAATCCTACCCTTAGAACTATACTCCTCAACTCTAAACAAAAAAAAATCCTAGAATTAGTTAATTCAAAGGGTATAAATATATATTTACTTATTTTGATAAAATATTTAAGTCGATTTTGGTCATTTTTTTTTTAAGGTCTATATTTGTGACAAAAACGTTTTTAGGTCTATTCTAAGGAATTTCTTTAAAATGTTTTATAAATATAAGATAGTGATAGACATTATGCACACTAAAAAAATATACTCATATTTAAAGTATTTATACAATTTTAGTTCTACTTAATAATTTTTTAACAAACAAAAGCTAATCTCGTGCTTTTAAAATGCGGATCAAAATCTAATATTAACTTATAACTAGTGTTTTGAATGCTCGACTGAATTGAACTGGCTATTTGTAACTCGTTTTTCCATCTGATTATAAACTTTATTTGAGTTAAATAAAAAATAAGTTAAATTTGTATTTTTCAAACTTGAAAAAACTGTAAATTTAAAAGATATTTTATATATTTTAGGAAAATTTCAAAATATATTTTCTAATCAACCATTTAATATCACTTATTTTGTAAAACAGTATTTATCTCGTAAAATGAACGAACCACAATTAGTTGTACTTTTCATTCTGCATGATTTATCTATATTATTAAAAGAGAAGTATCAAACAGAAATTACGCTTAATTTTACCAATTATTTACAATATAATGCCATTGAGATATTTATTGAACCTATATTTAAGTATGTTTATCTTTTCCTAATTTAAGTAATATATTTAAGTATTTAATTTATTTACATAATTTAAATAATAGATTTCCTTAGTCAAATCTTAACCAAAATAAATTTCCTAATATATTGGTATTAACGTATTAAATATTGTAATATTTATTAATATAAATAATAAGATTTTTCTTTAAGAAATTTATTTAATAGAAATTATAGTTCTAAGTATGTTTGTATATTTTATGTATTTATAAATTTTTTTTGTTATTGAGGAATGCTAAGATTTTAGAACTAAAAACAATTATGACCTACTTCTATATTATTTTAATTAGGAATTTTAAAATTTATATCAGAATATTTTATTAAAAATTTTAATTTGAATTATTATAACTAAAAAGATTAATTTTCAATCTAAATTTATGTTTAAATATTATAAATACATCATATAATCTAAACAAAACACACATAAAATAATTACCCGTTCGGTCGGGCGGGTCAAGGTCTAATATTGCTTTCTTAGTAAAGCCATCTCCAACCCAACACTAAAACTTTATTTTAATGTGATTTCAACACAAAAACCTTCTCCAACCCAACACTAAAATTCATACAATTTTAGTGCAACAATATAATTTTACACCAAATTTGGTGTGACACTATTCACCACACTAAAATACTATTCATCCTACTATAACACTATTCACTTTATTAATAAATTACATAATTAAATAAATAATAAACAAAAAAGTAAATACATATAATATTATAAAATAGTTTTTAGTGTTATATTTAGTGTTATGGTTGGAGATGAACTTATTTTTAGTGCTGAAACTACATTAAATAGTGTAGTTTTAACAAAAAAAATAGTGTTATGTAGGCCTGGGTATTCAGATATTCGGTTCGGTTCCGGATAGAAACCATTCGGTTCCAGATATATTGGATAAATCATTCTTATACCCAATAGATACTTATGAGATTTCGATTCGGTTTCGGTTCGGTTCCATTTTGGTTTGGTTTCGGGTACCCGTTTAATATATAAATCAAATATATATACATAATATATTAGCTAATATGTTAATTTAAATGATCTAGTGTTTACACGCTTACATATTCGTCAATTCAACAAGAGTTTTAATCAATAAAGTGTTAATTTTATAAAAATTTATCGTATTTTAATATAGAAATACTATATGTATTTATAATAAAAGAGAATAAAGAAAACATAATGTGGTGTAGTGGTAAAAATGTACTTACTTTTTGTATCCAACCTGGTTTTAAGTGGGATTGATATAATTTTATCTTATATTAAAAATTTTCACTTGTTTTTCGGATATTTGGGTACCCATTCGGTTCTCGGTTCCGGTTTGGTTTTTTGGGTATAGAAATATAGGAATCATTCGGATATTTTAAAATTTCGGTCTAGTTTTGATTTCGGGTATTCTGGTTTGGTTCCAGTTCAGTTTTTTTGTTCCGGTTTTTTTATCTAAGGCTAGTGTTATGGGTTGGAGATGCTTTAAAACCTCAAACAGAGACGAAAAAGGGAATTTAATAGAAAAGCCAAAACCGGGTTTTCATTGGTGTTGTCCTTTTTAACCGGTTCCGGTTCTTTACCTTTCGCTTTACTAAAGTAAATCTTCCAGTCTCTTCCTCCCTCTGCATATCTATTTGACAGTCAACTGTGAATTTTGGTCGCGCCGTCAACATTGAAGGCTAGGCGTTGTTTCGCTTCACTCTCAGGTAGAATCGACTTAAATAAACATCATGTTAGATACACTTCCTTTTCGTTTCGAAGTGTTCTCAGTATCGATAGTATTGAATTCTCCTTTACTATTGTCTGTGAATCTTTGATTATATCAATATGAGAACCTGCAAATATACAGTTTTTTTTTTTAAGTCTTTTGATCTATAGAGAGTAAAGATCCTAGTTCTGTATCCTGGTCCGAAGCTAAAACTCTTACTTGATTATGCTCGTACTGACAAAATTCTTTTGTTTAGTTTGATTGGTGACGGTCGATTTCTTGATAAAAGAAGTTTGATTTCTTCCCCAATATTGAAAAACATTCTATAACATAAAGTTTGCAAATTGTAAGATTAGCATGAATAAAGGAGAAGGTTTTATTGTTTGATGTAAGTAATAAAACCTTCTTGTTAAGTAATTTGAATGTTATGCATCATGTCCTTTGAGGTAGCAGAGAATATTGGAAGGTGGAATCCAAATGGTTGAACTTCCGGGCCAAATAAGACGTATGAGAACCTGCAAAAGTATACAGTTTATGTTTTTAGTCTTTGATCTATAGTGAGTGAGGATCCTAGTTCTGTATCCTGGTTCGAAGCTAAAACTCTTACTTGATTATGCTTGTACTGACAAAATTCTTTTGTTTAGTTTGATTGGTGACGGTAGATTTCTTGATAAAAGGAGTTTGATTTCTTCCCCAACATTGAAAAACATTTTATAACATAAAGTTTGCAAATTGTAAGATTAGCATGAATAAAGGAGAAGGTTTTATTGTTTGATGTAAGTAATAAAACCTTCTTGTTAAGTAATTTGAATGTTATGCATCATGTCCTTTGAGGTAGCAGAGAATATTGGAAGGTGGAATCCAAATGGTTGAACTTCCGGGCCAAATAAGACGTATNAAAACATTTTATAACATAAAGTTTGCAAATTGTAAGATTAGCATGAATAAAGGAGAAGGTTTTATTGTTTGATGTAAGTAATAAAACCTTCTTGTTAAGTAATTTGAATGTTATGCATCATGTCCTTTGAGGTAGCAGAGAATATTGGAAGGTGGAATCCAAATGGTTGAACTTCCGGGCCAAATAAGACGTATGAGAACCTGCAAAAAGTATATACAGTTTTTGTTTTTAGTCTTTTGATCTATAGTGAGTGAGGATCCTAGTTCGGTATCCTGGTTCGAAGCTAAAACTCTTACTTGATTATGCTCTAACCGAATTTCTTTTTTTTTTTGGTATGCTAATTCAGTATGAGCAGTGGGATAAGTCAGCTCCTCGAGCAGATACACGAATTTTCAAGAAGATGTTTGTTCCGGGTCATATCTGTGGGTCCTTTACCCATTCATCTTGCCTTTATCATGGATGGAAACAGAAGGTACGCAAAGAAGCGAGGTCTAGAAGATGGCTCTGGTCATAAAGTCGGGTTCTCTGCGCTTATGTCCATGCTACAATACTGCTACGAGCTAGGTATCAAGTATGTAACTATATACGCATTTAGCATAGATAACTTTAGAAGAAAACCGGAGGAGGTTAAGTCTCTAATGAATTTGATGCTGGAGAAGATCAAGTCTTTGCTTGATAAAGAGAGTATAGTCCATGAATACGGGATACGTGTGCATTTTATCGGTAACTTCGCGCTTCTAAGTGACCAAGTGAGAGCTGCTGCAGAAGAAGTCATGGAGGCGACTGCTAAGAATAGTCGTGTACTGCTTCTTGTGTGCGTTGCCTATAACTCTACAGATGAGATCGTACAAGCTGTCAAGAAATCTTGTACGAACAAGTTAGTTGAACACTCTGAGGGTAGAGATAGAGACATAGAGAGAATACAGTTGGTGAATATTGAGGAGACTATGCAGATGAGAGTGGCTCCGGGTCCTGATATACTGATACGGAGTTCTGGAGAGACGAGACGGAGCAACTTTCTTTTATGGCAAACAGGTAGCTCTCAGCTTTTCTCCCCTGATGCTCTGTGGTCTGAGATTGGCCTTAGGCATTTGGTCTGGACTATATTGAACTTTCAGAGAAGTCATTCATACTTAGAGAAGAAGAAGAAGAAACCGTTGTGATTTTCCTCATCTTTTGGTTTGGCTTTTTTTTCTGGAGATGTGTTGTTCATGTGGGATCTATATATAATAGCAAACTGAATCTGACGTCAACCTTTTTTTATAGGAAAAAAACTGAAGATCTAATGGTTCATATTTATTGGGCATTTAATCCAAGGGCTCTATTTTTTTTCTAGATGATCTCATCTTAAAGAAAAGTAGAATTTAATCCAATGGTTGACATTAACATACCTTTTAATCCAAGGGTTTAGATACTTACCTTTTGTTATGACGAAGACACGCCACCGAAGCTTCGTGTCGGTAGTGAACCATACTTGTGACCCTTGGTTCGCATCTCTTCCTCTATTTATATCTGATAACAAATTTACTATCCCTCTTTTTCTCACCTTTTTCTTCTATTTCTAATCTCTGATTCGATTGTTTGATTAAAACAAATTTTGTCTCCCAATCCTCCTCCATTGATGATCATTGCAGTTTTCATTGATATTCTCTATCACTGAAGCTTTGTTTATGAAGATATCTGAAACTTTGGATCTATTTTTTGTGTTTAAAGTTAATGGTCTAATTCCCATATGAAATTTGTGTTATTGAGAATGATTACTGTATTTTATTAATTGAGACGATAATTCTTTAGTCATAGCATTCTTTCTAGATTGAATTTAAATCTGATGTGTTTGTTTCCCTGTCTCTCTTTCACATTTTCATTAGTTTGGTATTTCGGTATATCTCTGCCCTGCCTTTCTCGCTGTATTTTCTTTTCTTCTACTCTGCTTAGTCAAACAGTTCGATTCGAACTCATTTGAACATATGAGGTGAAAGTGAACCCTTAAACAAATTATCCATGCGATCTGGGTGTTTTTGTCTCTCTTTCACTGTTTTTGGTTCATGATCTTTTCATAAATTTTCATTGACATCACTTTGTGTTTAGGGAAAACAAAGTAATATCCAACTATGGTATTTTTTCTGCTCAAATATTGTTTTGGTGGACATGCAATTCATAGACGTGTCGAATCGTTCTTCCATACATCTCTCGATCCATCTTTCCACGCAGATTCTCAAAACCAGTTTCTACATAATTGTTTGTAAACCATTTGTTTGTTAATCTATCCCTATTTCAAAGAGGTTTGTTTTCTGTATATGCTCGCTGTTATATCTGATTAATTTCTTTTCACCGCTTGTCGCTATTTGAATGTCTGTAATCAGATTTCTTTTTGAATGGTTAGTAATTTTGTTTTTTGGCTGACGAACGATTCACTTGTAGCTTTTCTTTTCACTCTTTGGTCTCTGATTTTGGTACTTTCTCCCAGTTTTTGTATTGCAGTCTACTCGATTTTCACTGTTTAGTATTTATTTTCTTATTTTTGTTTTATCATTGATCGGGTCGTGACAATTCGCCAAAACTGATATGAGAATCGCGATTAACGTAAGTATATTTTTTTGGCAAACATTTCAATTTATTGAAAGACAGAGTTCAGCACCTAAACGGTGGATACAAGGGAGATATTATAAGCTGATTTCGCAAGTCCATCAGCGATGACATTGTTAATTCTTGGAACAAAGGAGAAAGAGATAGCTTCAAAGGAGTTTATCAACATGAAGATATCATGGAGCGTTACTTGACAGAAAGAGACGAGACTTTTAGAGTCAGAGAAGCATTCCAGCTTTCTAAGTCCCGACGATACCGCAGCAGAAAGAGCTGCTTTAACCGCTAAGGCCATAATAGCCGAGCCTAAATAAACACGGTTTGAAGACCCATGACCGAAGTACGTACCCTGGTTATCTTGAAATACCCATCCTAGACCTCCCACTCCCGAAGTAGCCAGCCAAGATGCATCAGAGAAACACTTAGTGCCCGAGGAGGGAACAAGATGTAATGGCTGATGAAAGGAGGCACTTGAGAAGATGACTTTGGGAGGAGCTGAGCGTTTTGCCATGACCTTGCCTCAATAATTGCCTTTTCCATGATCTCCTTTTAAGTGAAGAGTTTGTCCTCAAACACTAATTTATTTCTCCCTGTCCAGAGGTTCCATAAGATCCAAGGAAACAGAGGGATAGACAAACCAGTTGGAGGTAAACAAGTCAATTGACGACAAGTTTGGAGAAGGAGGGCCTGTGAAGTGACAGAGCTGTCATCCAGTAGTTGGCGCAGGGGGGCTAGCTTCCAGACACGCTGAGCAAAGGGACACTGGAGGAAGACATGGAGCAGATATTTCTTCTTATTCAGTAAACAGATGTTTCTCAAGAACACTTGTATGTGCATGCGTAAGTGGGGACTGGAAAAGTTTGTACTTGAAGAACAAGTGGAAAGTTCACCAAGTTTTGATGAGAATTTAATATTACTAGGTTTCAATATCATTGTGTTACAATACAGATAAAATATCTTCACAATATGATGTACCTGTGTATCTAATGCATTTCTTTTTTTGAGGTTTGAGTGTTAAGAAGATTTTTTATTTTGGTAAACGTTAAGAAGATTCATGTAATTATCTTGCCCTTTGTCCCTCTAGACAATAAGATTACCAAAAAATATAGTAAGAAACCATCGATGTGTTCAAATATATATATGATGTTGCTTTTAGATTCAGTTATGCTTGAAACTTGACATGAAAATTGAAAAGTTAACCTCACGTAGGATGCAAAGATGGGGAATGTTTTCCTTAATGCACACACTATTTCTCCAGTTTCTGGGCTGGAGCCCCCTGTGAAAATCATAATATTTATTGTATATTCTCATTATATGGTGATACAGATAAACCGTAAGATGAATATAAGATTCCAATATCGATTCAATGTCAATTACAACAAAGAACCGATCTCACCAAGCCAAGAGCTTATACGAAGAAACAGCTCAAAAGCGTTGACAAGATGAACAATACGAAACGTACAGAGAAAGATTAGGATTCTTTACAATAATTTCTGAATACTCTGTAAAAAATGAACTACTCCTCTGTTATAAACTCGTTGCTTCCACCGTTTGTAAAAAACTTCTTCCGTCTCTTTCTTCCGTCTACACGTGTCCTTTACCGTTAACTCTCAACGACCTTCATAATAGCTGACACATGTAACTCCCTTTTTCCTATAACAAATCCTCCCTGTTCGAAGAACCTTGACCACAAGGTTCAAAAGTTGGAAACCGCTTCTAAAAATCATCAGCTCCCAAGTTGCTTCCTCCTCCCCTCTGTTCTTCCACTTAACCAAAATCTGAGTGGCTGCTCGACCCTGTCTCTTCACCATCTTTCTCTCCAAAATTTTCTCAGGCTCATGAAGCAAAACATCAGATATCACCACTGGTAACTTCGTTGAAGTCACTACATTTCCCACTATCACCTTAAGCTGAGAAACATGGAAGACCGGATGTATTAATGATGAAGCTGGCAGCTGTAGTTTATAAGCAACATTCCCACAACGGTCAATAATCTTGTAAGGTCCAAAGAACTTTGGTGAAAGCTTATTATTAGACCGAACCACACTGTTGACTGTTGTCGATACGGCTGCAACTTCACATACACGTAATCTCCAATCTCAAAAGAACGCTCCGTCCTATGCAAGTCTGCATTTTGCCTCATCCTATGCTGAGCTCGTAAGAGATGGAACTGTAGCATAAGGATCATATCTTCTCTGTCTTGCATAGATTTCGCCACTACTGCCACTTTAGACTCGCCTGGTAAGTAAGGGAGATGCATAGGAGGTGCATGGCCGTAGACAGCTTCAAAAGGTGTCATCTGTGTAGCAGTATGGAAAGTTGTATTGTACCAATACTCAGCGAGTGGCAACCACTCCACAGATGAGGTCTTTCACTGGTCATACATCTTAAGTAAGTCTCCACACACTTGTTAACTATCTCCGTCTGTCCGTCACTCTGAGGATGATAGGCAGTGGAATAGTTCAACGAAACCCCCTGTAGTGAAAACATCTCTCTCCAAAATTCACTGAGAAACACAGAATCTCTATCACTTACAATCGTCTGAGGAAACCCATGAAGCTTGAAGATATTATCCAAAAACTCTTGAGCCACAGAAGCTGCAGTATAGGGATGTTTCAGAGCAATAAAGTGTGCTGCCTTGCTAAGACGATCAACTACAACCCATATGACTGTCTTACCAAAAGAATTAGGAAGACCATCGATAAAGTCCATTGAAATGTCTGTCCAAACTGCGGACGGTATAGGTAAAGGTTGTATCAACCCCGGTGAAGCCACTGTCTCATGTTTACAACGTTGACAGACACTGCAACTTCTTATAAATGCTTGTATGTCTTTAGTCATCCCTTTCCAGTAAAATAAGCTTTTAACTCTCTGATGAGTTGCATCGCTTCCTGAATGCCCTGCACTACCAGACCCATGAAGCCACTGCAATATCTTGTTTCTCAGGTCAGCCACTGCTGGAATTACCAGTTTACTCTTCCTTCTTAGTGATTGTTGTGACCAAGAGAAATGCTTATGAGAGTCCGGTTTCTTCTTCAAATCCTCTATCAACTGCTTTGCCACTGGATCCAATACATAACTCTCCTGAATCTGTTTCAGCAAGTCACACTCTACTACAGACAGAGCCATGCTTAAAATGTCATATCCTTCCACTCTAGAAAGTGCATCTGCTGCAAGATTATCCTTCCCCTGCATGTATTGAATCTCATAATCGAATTCAAGCAGTTTAGGCATCCATTGTTGTTGTATAGGAGTATTTAACCGTTGTTCCAGAAGATATTTCAAGCTTCTCTGATCTGTTCTGATGATAAAATGATCATTCAACAGATAGTGTCTCCATTTCTGCACTGCGAAGACCACTGCCAACAACTCTTTCTCATAAATTGATAGATGCAACTGCTTCCCTTTTAGATGCCTACTTATATAAGCCAAAGGATGTCCTTCTTGCATCAAAACAGCTCCTATTCCATTCTCACAAGCATCAGTCTCCACTACAAATTGCTTGTCAAAAGCAAGAACTGGTGCTTCACACAACGCGTTCTTAAGTTCTTCGAACGCCAACTAAGCCTCCTCTGTCCAC